AAGTGAAGTTATATCTTTAAAGTACTGCATGTGTGTCAAATTGTCAACCTAGAATTGTATACACAGCCCAAAACAAACAAACTTTCGAAACTGAAGGTAAAATAGACTTTATCAGACAAACCAAAGCTGATAGACTTCATTGCCATAAGATCTTCCTCATAAGAAATGTTACAAGACGTTCTTCAAGCAGAAGAAAAAGAACACCATATAGAAATATGTATCTAACACAAAGGAAGAAAGAGCAACAGTAAAACTAAGTTTGTGGGTAACTATAAAAGAGTTTTCAGGGACTTCCCTGGTGGTGTAGTGGATAAGAATCCGCCTACCAATGCAGCGGACATGGGTCCGATCCCTGGTCCAGGAAGATCCCACATGCTGCGGAGCAACTAAGTCCATGTGCCACAACTACTGAAGCCTGCAGGCCTAGAGTCCATGCACTGCAGTGAAGTGTAGCCTCAGCTCACCACAACTAGAGAAAGCCCACGCGCAGCAACAAAGACCCAACGCAGCCAAAAAAAATTAAATCAAAAAGCAAAGGGAGAATGAAAACAAATCCGAGGGGGGAAAAAAAAAGACTTTTCATCCTAATTTTTAAAAACTTTTAAAATTTAAATTGTGGTAAAATACACATAACATAAAATTTATCATCTTAAACATTTTTAAGTGTACAGTGTACAATTCAGTAGTGTTAAGTACTTTCACATTGTTATGCACTCAATCTCCAGAATGCTTTTCATCTTGTAAAACTGAAACTCTGTCTATTAAATATCCATTAAACAGCAATTCCTCATTTCCCCTTGTCCCCAGCCTCTGGCAACCATTCTATTTTCTGTCTCTGTGAGTCTGACTACCCTAGGTACCTCACATAAGTGAAATAAAACAGTATTGTCTTTCTATGACTGGCTTATTTCACTTAGTATAATGTCCTCAAGGTTCACCCACACCGTAGCATCTGTCAGAACTTCCCCTCTTTTTAAGGCTGAATAATATTCCATTCCATGTATATACCACATTTTATCTTTTCATCAGTTGACAGACTCTTGGATTGCTTTGGCTATTGTGAATAATGCTGCTATGAACGTGGATGTGCAAATACCTCTTTCAGACCCTGCTTTCATTTCTTTTGGGTATATACCCAAAAGTAGAATTGCTGGGTAATATAGTAATTCTACTTTCAGTTTTTTGAGGAACGCCATACTGTTTTCCATAGTGGCTGCACCACCAATTTACATTGTCACCAGCAGTGCACAGGGTTCTGATTTCTCCACATCCTTGTCAACACTTGCTATTTTCTGCTTTTTTGATAGCAGCCACCCTAATGAGTGTGAGGTAGTATCTCACTGTGGTTTTTTTGTTTTGTTTTGTTTTGTTGGCTGTGCTGGGTCTTTGTTGCTGCCCGCCGGCTTTCTCTAGTTGCGGCGAGCGGGGGCTACTCTTGGTTAAGGTGTGCAGGCTTCTCATTGCAGTGGTTTCTCTTGTTGCAGAGCACAGACTCCAGGCACATGGGCTTCCGTAGTTGTGGCACATGGGCTCAGTAGTTGTGGCTCGCGGGCTCTAGAGCACAGGCTCAGTAGTTGTGGCACCCGGGCTTAGCTGCTCCGCGGCATGTGGGATATTCCTGGACCAGGGCTTGAACCCGTGTCCCTTGCATTGGCAGGCAGATTCTTAACCACTGCACCACCAGGGAAGCCCTCTCATTGTGGTTTTGATTTGCATTTCCCCAATGACTAATTATATTGAGCATTTTTTCATGTGCTTGTTGGCTATTTGTATATCATCTTAGGAGAAATGTCTATTTGAATCCTTCACCCATTTGTTGTTGTTGTTGAGTTGTAGGAGTTCTTTATATATTCTGGATAGTAACACCACATCAGATATATGATGTGCAAATACCTTCTCCCATTCTGTAGGTTGCCCTTTCCCGCTCATTTTTAATTCACTTTAAATAATTAACTGTTTAAAATAAAAATAAATAAGGACAGTGTTGTGTGGGTTTATAATACATCAATGTAAAATATGACAAAAAATAGCACAAAGGGCGGAAGGGGAAATGGAGGTGTACTGTTCTAAGGTTCATAAGCTCTAAGCGAAGTGCTATAATATTATTTAAAAGTAGATTATAAATCAACGATGTATATTGTAAGCTCTAGAATAATCATGAAAAACATAAAACAAAGAGGCATAGCTATTAAACCAACAGTTTTATTTTATGGTAAAATAAAACCATAAAACACACTCAATTAATCCAAAAGGAGGCAGGAAAAGAAAGGGAAAAAAGAAACTAGCAGAAAACTCATAGCAAGATGGTAAATGTAAGCCGAACCACACTGATGATTACATTAAATATAAACGGTATAAACATTCCAGTAAGAGGCAGGCATTGTCAGATTGGATTAAAAAAGCAAGACTCCATTATGTGTTGTCTGCAAGAAACCCTCTCTAATCATAAAGAAACAGATAGGTTAAATGTAAAAGGAGGGACTGCTGCCAACCACACCTCTAAGATCCAGCTTCTCTGATGCTCAAGGGTATAAACATACAAACTCCTTCTCCACCAGAAAATGTAAAAGAATAGAAAAACATATAACATGATGAAACTAAACTAACTTTTAAAAGGCTGGAGTGGTTATATTAATATCAAACAAGGAAGATTTCAGAACAAGGATTATTACCAGTGAAAAAGGGACATTTCAGAAAAATGAAGGAATCTATTCAGCAAGGGGCTACAATCCTAAATGTGTATGCACTAAATGGCAGAGCTTCAAAATATATTGAAGCAAAAACTGATAAATGGAGAATTCAACATCCCTCTGTTAGTAACTGACCATATGTGGAATCTAAAAATAAAATGATACACTTAACCACTGTACCACCAGAGAAGTCCCAGGAAAGACTTCTTAGATAAAACATCAAAAGCAGGGCTTCCCTGGTAAGCCCTCTAAGCCTTCCCTTCCCTCTAAACCTACTAGAACAGCTAAAATTAAAAAGACTGATGTCAGGGATATAAAACAACTAAAACTCTTACACTTTGCTGGCAGGAAAGCAAAACGGTACAGTCACTTTGGAAAACAGTTTGGCAAATTCTTATGCAGTGAAGCATACATCCTCTACACAAATGTTTATGTTGGCTTTACTTATAACAGCTAAAAACTGGAATTAACCCAAATGTCTTTTGACTGTTGAATAGATAAACAACATACAATGTTATGCCCATACAATGGAATACTATTCAGCAATAAAAAGGCACAAGCAACTGCTACACACATGTGTGAATCCCAAATGCATTATACTAAACAAAAGAGGCAGACTCAAAAGGCTACTATATGATCCATTTATATGACATTCTGGAAATACTACAGGGACAGTAGTTGTCAGGGCCTGGGGGTCAAGGGAGGGGTTAACTGCAAAGAAGCATGAAGGAACTTTTGGGGGTGATGTTGGACGTGTTCTATTAACTGTTACGGTGGTTGCACAAAGGTATTCTCAAAACTCATGCAACTATACTAATATGTAGATTTTACTGTATGTAAATTAAACCTCAACAAATCTTTAATAAAATTATGACACCTCCAAACAATTATATATTATGCATTTAAAATATGAGATGAATCCATATATGCTGGTAATAGGATAAACTCTAAGACACATTGTTAGGAGTAAAAAGCAAGATACAGTACAATAAATACATTATGTTCCTGTTTATGGTAATATTGGCTGTCTCTGGGATCTGGAGTGGGAATATATACCCTTTTGTACTGTTTGAGTTTTTTTCCCCACATGCTTGTATTACTTTCAATTAGAAAACCCATACACAGGTCAAGGAAAACTCACAGGTGTCTGGCCCAGGGGCCTGAGCAATGTAGGTCTGAGAAAACCCATGCAAGAATATGGAACATGGCGCCAGACACTGAAGAAGTGCTCAGTAAATAGCTGAGGGAAGCAAAACAGTGGAATCACGTCAGAAGGCAGACCCCAGACAAAGGGATCTCTAACTGAACACCAGATATTCAGCCAGCAGAGCCTCCTGTTTTATACGAGGAGCTAAGCTTGGATTGCTGACATTAGGAAAGAAAAGGAGCATAAAATCCAAATACCCTGGATTTGCTTGTGGGCAAGCTATTTGTCAGCATTCCTTTGCAAGCACACCGTGTGCCCTAACCTCAGCCTTCTAAGGGATGGGGTGCATACCCTTCCCCCGTGAACACAGCCCACCCCAAGAGGCCACCCCTAGGGCTCCTCTGGTGGTCCGAGTGCTACATCCTGACTCCCAGAGGTCCAGAGCAGCCCCTCCTACATCCCCTCCAAGTCAGATAGTCCTATAACTCTCTGAAGGAACAAAACGACCCCAGGGGTCTCACTGCACTCGGACCACAGACAAGACGATCGCAGCACGTCAGGCTCTTTTCCACACCAAGGTTTCAGGAAAGAAAACCCGAAAGGAAAAGGCGGATAAGCAAGCAAGGCCTCTCAGTGGAATTGGGTGAAAGGATCTCCCAGGGTTTGGCACAGCTTCTTTCAGCAGCTCCTGTCAAGGAAATCAGGAACTCTAAAACGCCAGCCTCAGAAACTCCTCTTTACTTCCTGCTTTATTTGGCTTTGCCTCCCTGAAGCCAGGTAGTTGGTCCCAGCTTCCAAAAAAGACTACGAGCTTCTGTGCTGTGGAGCACTGCCTGGCGGCCTCTGGATACCTGGCTTCCAAGGGGAACCACGTAGGTTCTACCTCGTCTCTTTCCTCCACAGAAGCGAGCTGTGCTGGCAGGTACAAGCTCTGAGAGGAAGACGGGGGTAAGGTGTAGCAAGGGCCTAGAGTGGGACTGGAGTAGGAACCAACCAAAAGCAAAGTCCTTTCCAGGCACCCACCAACTCAAGGACACAGGAGGAAAGGTACCACAGAATCTCATTTTCTCAGAGGCACACCACTTGCCACACGGGGCAAGGTGTCTGAGTCCTGGGCCATGGACCAGGCTATCCAGGTGATGGGAAGAAACAGGAGCACTTACCGGGGGAAGATGGCAGTCATCAAGGCTGAAGCATAGCCAGGCTTGCAAGTTCCCTCTGAAAAGTTTGCGTACTTGGTGGCTAACTCAGCAGGCCTATAGGAAGAGAAAGAGAGTCACGGCTTGCCGGGCACTGGGCAGTGGTTACTAGTTCATGAAGAACTGTAGGTGTTTAAACCCTGAACAAAGCTTCACTCCCTACAATCAGCACTTCAGCCCCCTTTCCACACCAAGGCCCTGGAGGTGGGGGTAAGGGGGAGGAGCCAAGAACCCCTAAAGGAATAGGTAGATAAACAAGCAAGGCCCGGCAGTGGAAGTTGGTAAAAAGAGCTCACTGGGTTTTGCATAGATTCTTTGCAGTAAGCCAGATTCCACGGAAATCAGGAACTCCATCCAGGCTCCCCGACTGGGAGAGTAGAGCCTGGAGACCTAAGGAGAGAGCCGCCAGACTTTGATAAAGTCACAGGCACTGCCCTTTCAACCTTCCTGAATATGTCTGCAAGTCGAGCCTCATCCGCCTCTATTCTCTCCACACACACTATGATCCAGTCAGTGGGAACCACTCACAGTGCCCTGAATAGAGATCAAATACATGTCGGGGCGTTTAGTTAAGGAGGCTCTCCTGCTCTCCTATCCTCTGTGCCTGGAATGTTCTTCCTTGTCCTTCTCCACCTGCCTATGCCTCCCGGTCCTTCACAACTCAGCTCAGATGTCAATTTCTCTGGGCATAATTCCCTGACCCCCAGATTGGGCCAAGTGTCTCCCTGCGCTCACTGTCCACCCCCTGCCACCCGCGTTACATGATTGCCCAGCACTCGCTGTACGGAACTGCAATGGTCGGTAGTATGTCTCCCTCACTGCACTGTAAATTCCCAAGGTCAGGGTCTGATTTAACCCTGTACCCACAGTTCTTTGCACAGAGATGGGCACACAGAAGACCCTTATGATCTTCTGAAGGAACAAAATGGCCCTGACAATCTCACTACACTTGGACTGGACATAAGACAATCTCAGGAGCCCATAAGTCAGAAAGCACTGTTTTTCAGAAGGCTGTGAGTTGTAGCCCTGGCTTTGCGGCTGTGTGACTGTAGTGAAGTCACCTCATATCTCTGGGCTTCAGTGTCCATATGTGTTCAGTGTGCAGCTGGAGTCACAGCCCTGCCACCAAAAACCCTGCCCAGTGCAGTCTAGAGAAGACCACAGCGGAAGAACTAGACACATTCAGTGACTGCTGGGGCTGGAGGCCCTGCGTGCTGGGGCACCTGAAGGAGCCCTGGCTCGTTGCCAGTTCCCAGTCCCAACCTCCCCAGTCTCCACCCTTGGGCCAGCTGCCAGCCCTCTGATGCCCAGCTGCTCTGCTGTGCTGGGGCCCTGTGGTGGGTCTTCCCTCAGGGCTGCCTTCTGCAGGGGTGGGGGCGGGGTGGGTCCAGGGTAGGGGAGGCTGGTGCTTATACAGGACAGCCAGAAACTATGATGCCACCGCCTATCATGCGTCATGTGTGATTCACTCAGTGCCCTGTTGAGCCTAGCCCAGGGCCTTATACAGAGTCACTGCTCACTGAATTTAGACAAACTCATCTATATCTATGTGCAATTTCTTCTAAAAAATCTACATTTTTTTAGCTTTCCCTACCAATGAAATTTAAAGCCTGAAATGCAAATATAAATGCTGAGCGACAAGCCGGAGTTGGGCCTTTATAGGCAGAAGAAAGCCAAGGGTTTAACAAGAGAAATTTACATGACAATATTTTCTTACATAAACAACTGTACTTCAGAAATGAAACATAAACTTCAGTGCAATTACTAAACCTACTGGAAGCTTTTGGACTAGGCACAGTGATGAAAACATTATAGCTTTCTTCAATTACTCCTCTCAATAGCCAGGTGAGTAGGTGCTATTAATTATTAATTTACATACAAGCTCAGAAAGATGAAGAGACTTAGTCAAGATCATACAGCTAGTAAGTAGTGGATACTACGTGAAACTATTTCTCTCTAACACGAATGCAGGAGCTATTAATTAATTAATTAATTAATTGATTTTTGGCTGTCTTCATTCCTGTGCAAGGGCTTTCTCTAGTCGCAGCGAGTGGGGGCCCCTTTTCATCTCAGTGCACAGGCCTCTCACTGTCGCGGCCTCTCTTGTTGTGGAGCACAGGCTCCAGACGCGCAGGCTCAGTAGTTGTGGCTCACGGGCCTAGTTGCTCCGGGGCATGTGAGATCCTCCCAGACCAGGGCTCGAACCTGTGTCCCCTGCATTGGCACGCAGATTATCAACCACTGCGCCACCAGGGAAGCCCAGGAGCTCTTAATATGGCACCGCCCTGGTGTGGATCACAGTCAGTGCCATCACAGAGGGAAGCACAGAGTCCAGGGACAGCACGAGTAGTCAGTGCAGTTGGAGATGGGGTAGAGAAGCTCTGGAAGTGTGTAACAAGCAGTGAGGCATTATGAGTCCCTCATATCCTTGTCTCCAATCCCCCACCATCCGCTTACTTGCCTGGTACTGTGGGTTCCGATGGTCTTTCTGAATTCCAGAAAGTTTCACAAAGAAAAGGAAAGACGGATGGTGGTCGTCCCTTTAACATAGTGCATTGCAGAAATGCACGTAGAAATGCATGTACAACAGCAGACAAACCTTCAGCCACATCTTTCCTCTCTCTAGTGAACACCATCAACTTCTGGCAAAATGCTTCAAGAATCAGGGCTCTAGATGTGCAGCGATATGGATGGACCTGGAGGGTCTTATGCTAAGTGAAATAAGTCAGACAGAGAAAGACAAATACTGTATGATCTCACATATATGTGGAATCTAAAAAATACAACAAACTAGTGACTATAACAAAACAAGAAGTAGACTCACAGATATAGAGAACAAACTTGTGGTTGCCAGCAGGAAGGGTGGGGAGGGACAAAATACGGGTGGGAGAGTGGGAGGTACAAACCATGGGGTGTAAGACAGGCTCAAGGATGTACTATACAACATGGGGAATACAGCCAATGTTCCGTAATAACTGTAAATGGAAAGTAACCTTTAAAAAAATGTATAAAAATTTTTTTAATTAAAAAAAAAGAATCGGGCTGTGGGATAGTCGAGGGTCTATGGACTCAGGTAATCCATAATGGAGAAGAAAGAGCACAGGCAAGATGGAACACAGGAAGCCAGAGCCCACCAGGAAAGGCTCTTCCCAGGCCAGTGCGGGGTGGTCAGATATTAAGGATGGAGCAGCTCTAAACCAAACCCCAAGCAACAGTAACTTCTAAAACATACAGCCCTGGGCATAGTGGGCCATGTCAAGTTATTACCAAATTAAAATGCCTTAGAAATGGCCTCCTGACCATCCCAGTGAGAGAAGAATAGGGGGAGTGTTGGGGATTCTGAGTCATACAGCAGGCTGGGACCTCTGGGGCAGTTAGCGGTCAAAACCACCAAGATTAACGGTCTCCAACTCCCTCGGGCCAGAATAGTTAGTTTCTCTAAGGCGCTCACACTCCAAATGCCAGGAGGCCCCCACAGATGTCTGATCAAATCATCCAGCCCTTGTTCTTCTCATACTCTGCAGCTGGCCTCTCATTTGGGGAGATTTAGCATTTCGACCAGTAAGAGCACCATTGTCCTGCAAACGTGACTACCAAGCGCCTGGGGTGAAGAGTGTAAACCACTGCACTCTTAAGAGGAAATCCAGATGGAGAGGCTGGCACCTAAAAGAAGGAACCAGACTTCCACGCCTCTGCTTCACTCAGAAGCCCCAAGTTTAAGGAATCAGGTCAAACAACAGGTTGTAAACGGGAAGAATACAGGACCTGGAATTAGAAGCTTTCATAAAGGACACTGCAAGCTGCGTGACCTTGGGCAAGTGAAGGACAATCTGCTTCTCAGCTTCCTCATCTGCAAATGGGAGCCACTCGGCTCTCAGGGATCTCGGGGGGTGTGGTGAAAAAGAACATTTGGAGGGGCTGGCTGTCCTCTAGAGCACCACACAAATACTTCGTGACAGGTGAGGTGGCAGAGCTTTCCAATGCTCAAGTTTGGATTCTGTCCTGGGAAGAGTCACTGAATGATTTCCAGTGGGAGAGTGCCCTGACCACCGTGTGCATTTTAAGGATCAACATTTGGGAGCTGAGGAGTAGCATGGCAAAAGGCTGAAAGAAGCAGTCCCTGAGATAGAAAAATAATCAGGAGAGAGTGTGATGTCTCAGGTGCCAAAGGAATGAAGTGTCTCAAGAAGGATACAGGGACCAACTGCATCAAACACTGTGCTCGGCCTGGGAAGGTAGCCATAAGATTGACAGCTGTATTTGCCAACAGGGAGGTTGCTCTTGACTTTGAGTAGAGCTGTTTCACTGGAGTGTGGGGGTGAAATGCTGCTTTCATCGGGTTTCAGAGAAAACAGAAGAATTGGAGCCAGGGAATAGAGACTACCATTTTTAGAAGTTTTGCTATAAAGAGAGACAGAGAAATGGGGCAATTGCTGGAGGGGAATTGCAGGGAAAGATTTTTTTGAGGTTAGGTAATTTTTCAGCATGCATATAAGCTGGTTAGAATAAGAGGAAAACTCAAGCATGATGCAACAGAAATGGGACAGTTGGAGAAATGTCCCCGAGAAGGTGAGAGAGGGAAAGGATCTACCACAAAAGTAGAAGGGTTGGCCTTAGCTCTGTCTACCCTGCCCTGCCCTGGCTAGTGACTACCTATTCATCTTGCAACATTCGGGTGAAGCACCACTTCCTTTGTGAAACTTTTCCTGATTGCTTCCCCCGCCAAGCAGAACCAACCTCTCCTGCCTGTGGACCCCATTTTACCTAGAGCTGACAGTCACCTGACCTTGCTCACTTGTCCCCACTCTCTCTCCCACCTCCTTCCCTTCCATCCTCTCACTCGTTCATTCATTCATTCACTCAACAGATATTTAGAGGCAACAGAGTCACTCTGCTTGGGTTTGTACCCTGGCTCCATCCCTTACTAGCTGGGCATGTTATTTAACTGCTCTGTGCCTTAATTTCCACATCTTTAAAACTGGAATTATACTAATACCTCATAAAATTCTTGTGAGGATTATGTTGACAATACAATGTTTAGTACAAGCCTGGCACATAGTTCTCCCTCAGTACATGCTAACTGTAACAGTCTCGTTGTTGTTATGTGCCAGATGCTGGCCTGGGATTAGGGATACAGTGATGACTAGGACATAACTATGGCCTAGCACTTGTTACCCTGAAGAATAAACTGTCCACTTAGGGACTTCCCTGGTGGCGCAGTGGTTAAGAATCTGTCTGCCAATGCAGGGGACACGGGTTCGAGCCCTGGTCCGGGAAGATTCCCACACACCGCGGAACAACTAAACCCATGCGCCACAACTACTGAGCCTGTGCTCTAGAGCCCGTGAGCCACAACTACTGAGCCCATGTGCCACAACTACTGAAGTCCGCGTGCCTAGAGCCTGCGCTCCACAACAAAGAGAAGCCGCCGCAATGAGAAGCCCGTGCACCGCAACAAAGAGTAGCCCCTGCTCACAGCAACTAGAGGAAGCAACCAAGACCGAACGCAGCCAAAAAATAAATAAATAAATTTATTAAAAAAAAAAAAAGGAATAACTGTCCATTTAAACATCTTTCTCTCCCAGACCATGAAATCTGAGTATAGTGCCTAGCACAGAGTACCATGCATGGCACTGACTATATAAGTACCCAACAAAATGTTTTTTGGACTGAACTCAATTGGTTACCTTGACTTGGAAGGTTAATTGACAGGAAGTGTGGGTATGAGGTGGTGATGGCTGGAGAAAATGAAGAAAGGACTTTGAGGATTAGGACTGTATAGATCAGTGTTGCTGGGCATCTCGTGACCAATGGGCTAATTTCTAGAACCTCTCAGAAAAGACTGAACTTAGCCCCCTACTGTGCCCCCTCCCTCATTCCAGGTGCTAGTTTACTGGAAGCAGTTCAAGGAACTGGTTGCAAGAACAGAGTAAGACCATGTGTGTAACACCTAGCACACTGCCTCACAAACCATAGTTAACAAATATTAGCTTCTTTTAAAGCAAATATAGCAACTTAATCAAGGTAGCCAGTACAGTCGTGCTGGGAGGACCTGCTTATAAACACAGGTAAGAACTCTCAGCACAGAGTTCACCCCACCACTGCTTCTTCAGTTCTATCCTCTCTAACCTTCCTGGAAGATGCACTTCTGCAATTACTAGAGGGATGCTTCTGGAATGACGACATGATTTGGGAAATCGCAGAAGCAGCTTAGGTTAGCTTTAGTAATCCCAGCTCGTCATTAAACATTTTCATTTTCTTTTTTTTTTCCTGAAATAGCCTTTATGTAAGAAAGGTTATTTAATACTGCCATAGAGCCTTTCAAGCTCCAAGATGGAAAGTTTTCTCCCTAAGGACAATTTCTATCTCCTCTGACTGCCTCTCCCCCACGATTACAGGTCTGCTGGCTCTTCCTGAATTATCAACCGTCTCTTCATTCACCCACATCTGGGGTGTGCCAATACATCCTGCCCTGGGCATCACTGACCCTTTGCTCTTTGGGAACTCCACTGCAGACTTGGGCTTCTATACGGTTTTGCCTCACTTACAGTGATCTGTGATAAACATGGAGGCACTGTCTCATGTCTCTTGTATCACTTTAAGAGAAGAGGGACTGCTTGATTTGCGTGATCTGGAATTTGGGGTATTTCTCAGCTCTGGAGGCCCTGCCTTTCAGCTCTTGCTACTGGGCACTGCAGTATCTTCTCAACAAATCAGCCACTCTGCTCTTTGATCAGTGATTCTGGAGCTGACATTACTGCAGTTTATCTTTGTCTCCAGGGCCTTGTAATTTACTTCATTTTGTCTGGGAGGATGCTCTCTAGTAAGCTCTCGCAAACGCTTTAGCCTGAGCTGTATATGCAATTCTCACCAAGACTTTCCACCAGGAATCTCTTGCAACTGCTCCAATTCAATTTTGTTTCTACATTTTATTAAAACACACACACACACACACACACACACACACACACACAGTTGACATAATTATCTAATGTAACTTTACAATAATCCTTTAAGGAGTACAGCCCTTAGACCTAGGCATGTGGGGCTAAAAGAGTCCAAGAGAAGCATGTGCTGGAAGATGTGCTATTCTCTGTTTACACTATAAAATTTCAAATGATAAAATTTGGTAGGGATTGCACTGACTCTGTACGTTGTTTTAGATACTATAAACATTTTAACAATATTAATTCTTCCAATCCATGAGTACAAAATATCATTCCATTTATTTGTGTCTTCTTCATTACCTTCATCAGCGTCTTATAGTTTCATTGTAAAAAGTCTTTCGCCTCCTAAGCTAAATTTATTCCAAGGTATTTTATTCTTTTTGATGCAACTGTAAATGGGATTGTTTTCTTAATTTCTCTTTCTGATAGTTCATTATTAGTGTATAGAAACACAACTGATTTTAGTATATTGATTTTGTATCTTACAACTTTATTGAATTTTTAAAAATCATTCTAACAGGTTTTTTTTTTTTTGGTGGAATCTTTAGGATTTGCTATATATAATATTGTCACCTCTAAATACAGACAGTTTTACTTTTTCCTTTCCAAATTGGATGCCTTTTGTTTCTTTTTCTTTCTTAATTGCTTTGGCTAGGACTTCTGGTACTACAATGAATAAAAGTGGTGAGAGTGGCCATCTTTGTCTTGTTCCTGATCTTAGAGGAAAGACTCAGCTTTTTTGCCATTGAGTATGACGTTATCTG